GCATATCTGATACGTCCTTTCAACAGAAATTGAACAAACATAATATGCATAATTACAAAATAATTACATTACAATCTCTTCTCCCTCGTGATGCACATTACGCGTAGAAATTTGTGATATGATATTGGTTAGAATACAAGAAGATCGATATTTTTTGACCAACGAGTCAACATTTTTTCCGGGAGGGCATTTTTAACAGAAGCAATAATCATGACTACTAGCCAGATGTAATGCGATTATTTTAATTCGCTTTATTTGCAATATTTTATTTATTTGCTTATAACTCGAAAACCAGTGAAACTAGATATACCATATTTTGGTATAAAGGGCAATTTAATTGTTGCTCATTTAAAATTCCCACGGAACATGGATTTTTATACCATATCAATTGGGCCTTATCTTATGAACGCTCTGTATGCAATAATCCTCATACTATATTATGACAAAGCAATTGAATAGGGTGTATTGTATGGGTTGCGAAAAATATTTTTATTTTATATCGAGTTGTTTGTAGGTATAGTACATGTTATATAAACAAGTTCCAGAATGGATCGGAGAATCTCAAAATGTAATAATATACAGTGTAATCTGTAATCTGTTAGGCCGTGGTCCATTGGTTTTGCTACCAAAGCTTTCAGCTGGTACTGCGGCAGTCATTTTCTGTACCGTACTAACCAATGGCCCACGGCCTAACAGCCCGAAAAGTCTCACAGCTTATGACGCCGGCCGTGAAAGCCTGCGCAATTATAATATACAGTCGTTCCATTTAAAAAAGGAAAGTTGATATACGTTACGAGTATATCTGGCAACACCGCATATTCAAAAATATTTCACATAGGTAGCTCATATTCACTTACATAAGTAACCAACATTTCAGGTTTTTACCGTAAGTCGTTCTCGACAATAGGACACTCACCGTGAATAACCCTGTACACAGGCACTTGTTGCGTTAATTCCGTTAGGAGGACTTTTTACGAAGTACTTATTTTCGTAAAGTTGATAATTAAAAAATATATATTTGGTAAGAACTTCATAAGACAAGCTGTATATTTGGGCAGCTCTATATTCTATATGCATATTGCTTGAATTTCTGGAGAAAGTTGCATCTAAATTTTTGAAAAAAAATGTGCGATGAACACTAATTGCTAAGCAACATTTTAAATATAATATTTGTAACCCGACACATAAATTTTTGTACCACAATTAAAATAAACAATTTCTAAAACTGTACTATTTGTTTTATTATTTTCGTATAATTTTATTTTTTAACAGTGAGCTCAGATATAATTTGTGGAACAAAATTATTTTTACATTTTAATTCCTCAATCACTTAAATTCATTACTAATAAAAACCAAAAATATTTAAAATTAGTAATAAAAATGTTCGACAAACATTTCATTTGAAAAATATCATTGATAACAATTTTTATTGTCACAAATAAAAAGAAAGTTGAATGAAATGATGTCGCAGAACTTTTGGTGTAATATTTTATTTTAAAGACGATTTTGTCCTCATATTAAATTTCTATCCCTTTAACTTAAACAGTGAATTTATACATAATAATTGAACACAAGTCCAAATGAACTTTAATAAAGTATAACCAGATATAAATAATATATCACTATAATGAAAATTTAAAAAGGAACTTACAATATCTTATACGCCCAACAAACATCACGATTCTCACTTAATATTTTACGCTTCTCGCACCATCTGGCGGAGGAATGCCGAAACTGTAAATGGCAAAAATCAATTTGACGTTGCCGCCCACGCAATGTAATCCGGTAACTTTGGAGTTTACTGATTTAATAATAGAAGAATTTCTAGACGTATTGGCGTTGCTCCCGCTATACATCCGTTCGTCAGAATTTCATTTGGTATCTTCAGAGGCTGCGCGTCTATGTCACTCGTATGTGTCAGCATTTAAACTTTTAGTGACATGGACGCGCTGCAGTGTAGTGTTCGTTCCGTGTTGGGAAAAAACGGCAAACAGTAGCAACCCTAAAAGTACAGTTTGGCTAGTCTCGCGATGACAGTGTTTTTTTTTAATTAGACTTATTTTAGGTTCCAAGCTTTTTTAACTCAGCGGAGAGTGTTCTTTACAGAACCTTAAAGATGATCAAAATTGGAATTTCCAAGTAAACTACACTCAATCGTGCCTTGTACCCAATCCTAATTTTTTTAATCAGAGACTTTAAAAAACTTCCCAACAACAATTCGCTGCCTTTCGCAGAAAATTAATTTTCTGTCCTATTTATCGCCATATTTTCTGCGAAGAAGCGTCCACTTGATCGCAAAAATGTTAGAATAGAATTCATGACGAGAATGCTCATCCACTCAAACTCGGCATACACTTTTCTAATTTCTTGCCATATTTCATTGCATATTTTATTTCAAGGTGTCCAAAAGTGGTGTCTGAATATGTGAATATTTTCCATTTAAAATAATAGAACTTTGCAATAATATACTCAAGTTTTACTTTAGACACCCATAGTTCAATGAATAGATACTTCCATCACTAGAAATCACAATAGGTGGTGTCTGAATGTGTGAATGTTTTGGACGTAGAATTCAAAACACACGCATATAACTTTGTAGTAATAGACTCCTAACATTGCCTACAATATTATTGCTGAATTTAATACTGATCGCTGCATAGTTCTTTTTTTAACTAAACAAGGACATGCACAGCAGAAAGACATCTAAACAAAAAAATAATAAATACACGCACAAATTAGCCAATAATCATGCACTAAAATTTTTGCAAGTTGCGTTTCTAGGGCTGTTATGTCAAGTGACAAACAGGTCCTTAAACTGGGAAGGCGTACAAAGGTACAAGAAACATAAATACCCAATCTTAAAATTTCGTGTTTCGACTTGCTTTGAACTGTGAGGATTGTAATGCAATTTATATCGGACAGTCTGGCAGGAAGATCTCCGTCAAGGTTCACGTTTGGTGCATAAGTACAAGGACACTGAGGCGACAGAGACCAAATATACTTTAGCTACAAAAAGTAAAAAACTTGATCTTAACTAACGTTTAATAGTATAAACTGCACAGAGAGTGTAACCCTGTTGGGTGTTTTTTTGTTTTTTTATATATTTTTATATTTTTTACGTCTTAATCACCACATTTCTTATTTCGCTTTTTTCCTTTTTTTAATCCATGTGAGTTATTTTATTATTTAAAAAAAATGCTTTTATAGATCTGATGATGTCCGTATGGGCAAAACAGGTGTAACATTTTAGAAATAATAATATCTGTAACACGGACTTCCTATTTAATTGAATCCTTATAGTTTTGTAAAACCGGGTCTCTTTGAGGATGAGCGATTGGTTTTATTTTAACTGTTGACGTTTTACTTTGTATGCCAGTGACCTTAGTGGTATTCCGTAGGCTTAGTATTGTATCCATGATGCTTGTCGAGGGTTCCGAGAATGGCAGATAGAGGACCACCGGGAAGTTTATTTAAAATTAGAATTGCTATTGTGTATGAATTTGTAAAATTCCGCTTCTAAAAATGATAAAATTATCATCCTCAATGTAGCTTAAGCTTAAGCACAACTTAACATTCGCGGTTGTAAAAACAGTTCAAATGTGTTCAGCGTGTGTGACGGTCAATAATATTACAACTTGTGCATAAGGATAAATGCAACCCAATTACGTCAGAGATATGCCGGGAGAAAAGAAACTGTAATAAATGAGGGTGACAAGACGGCGACCAGAAATGTTAAAAAATATCCGATTCGAAAAAAAAAAGATATGTCATTGCCTTACTTTAAATAACAAGCAATTTCAGAAAGATATGCAACAAAAGGAGCTACTGGAGATACTAACCGGAATATGGTTTCTATCAAGTTCATCAGTTGTGTTCGTGACTACCGTATCATTTGCTTTCTCTGCTGTTACAATTCGCCCGATTAGATTGCAAATATTTTAGTGCTATACGTTTAAGCTTTGTAATATTAGATTTAAATTTTAAATCGAATTTCATTTGCTGATTTTTACACTTTTTTAGGATAGATAGATTTTTAGATAGATAGGAAATTATTTTTTCTTTTGAGATACTGAACGATTTTTCAGTCAGTCAGTCTCATGATACATTTAGCACGTGTAGTATAGTAAAGCTGGATGGTTTGACTTTTGTTGAGGTTAGTTTTTGAAAAAGTTTAAGTGTGATTCTGGGTAGAATATAAACTTTTGCCATGAATCATATTTCAAAGGGTATTATTGAACTCGAATGGAGGCAAGAAGGAAGCATTTCAAGATGAAGAGACCGAAGAGTCTATTCCTGTATGGGTATTATGAATGCTTTCTCGAAATAAATCAAGATTCACAAAAAATTTTGAAGTTTCGATGATGGGATATTTTAACAAAATTAGGAATAAGCAAGGTAACAAAAAAACTGATCGTATAGATTAATCAACAAGCGACGAATGAGGAATCCAGAAGATTTATAAATACAAGGTGTGTTTTTAAAGTAAGTACCGTTTCCAATTTACGCCTGCGCTACCTATAAAGAATCCCGCCGATTGTAAAGTGAGTGCTGTAACACGTTTTCTCAGTGCTGGCTTCAGATCAGATGACATTCATCGCCAAATCAGTGATGTTTATGGTGAAAACGTTATGAGCGATTACCGATGATTGAACAAGGAATAAATTACTTTGGAAAAATCTTTACTTGTTTTTTTATTTCAAAATGGTACTTACTTTAAAAACACGCCTCATAGTATTGCAATTATCGTCCCTGTTTAATGACACTTTCATTGCAAACTTTTATTTTAATACACTCTCGCATTAAGGAACGGAATAAAATACAATCAACCGGTTCTATACACAGTATCCCAAATATGTAGAAGAAAAATATTTTTTAAATCCCGAGTTGAAACATTAAATTCTAAGATTGGCATCTACTTGTTGCGGGGTGTCAACTCTACACACCTTCGCATCACCAGAACACAAAAAAACATACGAGACAAAACGGAACAGAAACGGCACCTGCGCGATAATGATGGCGACCTTGTTCTTGTCCATGGGCGTGGTCACACGTTTATTTTTGAGGTGGTGCGGGGTGTCGCGTCGATGGAGACGCGTCTGCCGCCCCTCTTTACTATAATTAGGAGCGTCGTCCTGCTGCGCGTCCAGTTCGTTCACGTCACCGACGAATCCGACGCGCCGCTCCACGACGTGCTCCTGCGTGGAACCAAAGAGCATATTGTTCAGACCTCGATTTTGAACACGCTTCAACAATTTCCGGTACTAATTTCGCTTGTTTTATATTTATCGAATAACGGACAGGTAACCCTTCCGGTATTCCGCCGAACTTTATATGAAATTATATTTCTACAACAAGAAATCCACATCAAACATTACATAAACCCAAAAAAAGCAAAATAGTAAACTAACAGGGCTCTATCACAGATCCAAATTCTAATTTTCTTTTTACTCATTTCTAAGAAAGGCTCTAATACATTTACAATATGATTAACGAGACGTTTTGAACGATATGAGTCCAAATTTTTTAAATCGGTATTAAAGGTATTGTTACTGGAAAACTCCAAGGTACGGAGAGCATTATACATCGGGCAAAAAGGTGGTGGTAAATGGTAGGTTGAAAAATGTATTACTCAATCTGAATTGTGCTATAATTCTTAAAATGGCAATTTAAATAGCTGGGTGGTAGATCAGGGGCAAAGATTGAGCAAAAAATCGTGTAGTATGAACCGACTGCTTCAGTTGGCCTGTACTCGCTCAAGTATATCGGTATAACGGATGCCCCAAAGTGGAAGACTTCCGGAAAATATATTTAGAATGGTTATTTGGTATATTTTTTGAATTGCGTCACCTTGGAAACTTGTGCTGGTATTTCTCTAAACGAAGAGGAAGAAGAGATTGTCATTAAACCTTTTAAACATTTTAACCACATCCAGGCTTTAATCACCCAAGAAAAGCTTTGGCTGGGCTGCCAAGGGAGAGTTACTAAAGCACATAACTTTAGTTTTTTGAACATTGATTGTAAGGGAATTTTCGTTTGCGTACCCGTAAACAAGTGAACATTTTCTGTAATTGAGTCTCTGATTCAGCAATTAATAGACATTATGTCCGTAGGCCACTAAGTTGAGGCTATCATATCATATAACGTGGAGGACTCAACCCAGTAAGATTTTCACATATTTCTGTTACTACATGTACCGTGTGTCCAGTTTTCGATGGTTTTGATTTTTGAGATTCTGGATGTTTTTGGAAGTTTCGCAATTTGGGACGTCCTTCGGACCTCCGTTATTCTAAAGCTTATTATAAAAGCAAAGAGTGGCTTTGTTGCCATTTTCTTACAGAGATTTAGGCGACATACTCAATGTTATATTCGATTATTTTCGAAGAATAGAACATAAAATAGTTGGATAAAAGAATTTTCTATAGACCAAAATCAAATTTAATTCAATATTCATTTTCCAAACCACCGGTCCAATATTGTTATGTTTGAAATTGCCTATAACTAAATTAATTATAACTTGTCAAGGACAACTAACAGAAACGAATATTTTTTTAAACTTGAATATTAGATTGACTGTTAAAAAAATAAATATCCAAAACAATGCCACCCAATCAGCATTAGCAACAGTTGCGGCATCTTTTGTTTCTCGAAACAATAGCACAGTGTCGCAAAGACCGCATTTCTCTTAAAATCCGTAAAACTATTAAAAAATCAGAAGCATATAAAATTATTATATGACCACTTGTCCGTAAATATTTTATTTTATTTGGGCGTCGTAGAGAAACACTTTAATTTCGATTTTGTTCATTTTTTGTTCACTCTAATAATTTTGGTGGAACATAGGCGAAGAACATCATTTTATAAAGACTTGGTCTAGAATTAAAAAGTTATCAGATTCATGGCAGATCATTGGCATACAGTCACCACGCACATACGTAACTGTTAAAATATACACATTAAAAAGGACAGTCTCTTTCTAGTTTAAGACAAACTTTAATTCAAATCACCGTTTGCATACATCTTTACGAGACAAAATAAAAATATAAAAGTTAATTTGTCGACAATAAACTATTACTGGAATGGGCAATAAAAATTATTATGTATAATTATAATTCAAAAATTTTGGAGATGATGGAATTGGACCACCACTACTAAACCCTAAATTTAAAGAAAAACTTACGCAATGTCATAGAAAAAATAAATTTCTATAGACGGGTTTATTACAAAAAAAATATATGTTGCAATTTTTCCATAAAACTTATAATTTCCAAATAAAAAAATAAAATGTAAAGCAATTGAATGTCGAAAAAATAAATATTTTAGAAATATAATTTAGTTGGGTGCTGAAAAACGGTTATATTTTGTATTACCATTTATCAATTATCTTCTAATTAATAAACATTTTTAAACATGCGTAAACTATGAATAAACACATTTTTTTATTTATTATGGCAGGAGACAAAAGTTTATAAATAAAACAGAATTTAAAAAATATTTTTTTATATCATTTCATAAGTTTTTCTCTTCGGACTTGTATTTGAGTTTGTTGCTGGGAGTTCAGTACCAAAATTTCGAAACGATATAATTTTTTCGTCTATTTTTCGTTTTGGTGACTAATTTCCATAGACTTTAACTGTCAATGGTGTTGACAAAAAAGAAACAAAATGCAAATGTTCTCGCAACAACCAACGTCGTCGTCAGCAAGCGGCTCAGAATCGCAAATAAATCGCATTTAAACAAAAGCGAAACGAAGATGGTTGCTCCAGGATTGTATTTCCTGGACGCCTACTTAGACAGTCAGGCTACACGATGATTGCCGATTAAAAATCGACATTCTTGGTCGTAATGGTGGAAAATTGTAAGGCCAGTTCAGTTACTTTAGAAAATACTGTACATTCTACCATTCCAAATATAAAACATGAAAAAAATAGAAATTTGTTTTTTTTGGATTCACAATGTTGCCGTGTTATACGGGGTGTCCTAAATACACGAAGGGTATCAAGTTTGTTTTTTTATTTAAGAAATATTGCATTACTGCGATTATCTAAAATCAAGTTACATGAAAAAGTAAACGTTAAAAGATTGTATAGTTAAAAGATAGTGACTATTTAACTAGAATGTGGTATATATCGGTAAGAATGTCACAAATACGACTTAAAACTTCGTTAATCGCTAAAAGGGAATTTCCACGCTGAAAAATTAGGCATTAAAATGAATACATCACGTTTTCGCAAAATTAAAGAAATTTCAAAAACCACAAAATACACACATTCGCCACAATTTTATTCATAAAAACCAAAAATTAAACTATGAGTCATTTTTTCTTTTTGTTTAAGAATTAGATCAACTTTGTTGTATTTTACATTAATCAAGAAATTAATTAAATTTCATATTAAATCAAAAAAGATATTCTGCAAGATTATGTCTTTGAGGTAAGCACAATCATGTATATTCAAAAACATTATGCCTACTTGAGCCAAGATTTTGATTCTCAACTAATCAATATTTTCTCTTAACTTTGATCAAGAACAAAAATCCTAAATGAATCTCAGAACATACATCCTTATAATGGGAAGGGACTGAATTCGGTAGATCATTTTAAGTTTTTATTCATTTATTTGGTCATATCTAAAGACTGGCATCGGATTAAAGGCGCTTTATTTTAGGTCAAGATATCCGTTTTGCTATCAATAAATTTTCGTGTAGAAACTACATCATCACGAGATTGTACAAAAAGCTTCAACCTTGGTTCTTAAGTATTTTTATAGCTTACCTAACAACACACAATGGTGTAAATAAGAAAGTTTTTATTAATGTATTTAACGAACTTTATTAATTATACGAAGGTGTAATATTTAAAAAAATAATGAATATGTCAAAAAGAGACAAACGTAATAATTTGAAAAATTGATGTTTTTAATAGAAAACCTTCCAAGCAATTTAATATTATTATAGATATTTTATTGTTTTGAAGTCAAATATCCTTTGGTTTACATAATATGAAAGCTTCAAATATTTTGGACAACAATGTCAAAAAAATTGATAAATTTCAAATTTTGGCAGGTGGCATTTCATCCGTTTCTCTTATAAAAATATGTACGTTCAAAAAATGAAAAAGTTTAGAAGATAATTGCACAAATGTAAAACGAGACTTATTTTTAAAAAATTATATAATAAAAGGCAGAAGAATTAATGTAACGAAATTAACGAAACTTGGAAATCTAGGAAAGATTTTACAGTCGATCCTAAATCTACCTACAGGGGATTGTGGTTACACCTATTATAAAAATATTCGTTTATTAAACTCCATCATAAACACGTGTAATAAAAATGCTCGCATCCTATGAATTGAATTAAGTACAATAGAGGAAGACAGACAGGCGAGAAAGGGGTTAACGCAAATCGAACTCACATAGGCCACAGATCCGTCGTAAAACGTTTGACTGACTTGTGTCTACAATAATTCGTTATTCGCAGGTATGTGAAGTTTTTGGCTTCACCCAAGTCAATTCAGTGTACGAACTATCGATGGTTTATCGGGGACGAAACGCGCAAGCCATTTTGAACAGTTCGCCAAGTTTCATTGATTTCTAAATATGCCGAGATGTCTCTATGATGGATACGGCGAATGTGTGCTCATGTCCGAGATAATTAAATATCGATAGTTTATGTATTGAAGTTTTCGGTAGGAGACCAACGTTATCAATTGCTAAGTGGAAACCTACTACAAAAATGGAAACATTAAATACTAAAAAACATTAGACTGATTTTAATGGTAAATGTATAAGAAATGCTTTAAGAAAAACGAGTCCAATATAAGGATGGCATAGCATCGGAATATTATAAAACTGATGTCACAATTGTTGCGAGATGTGGTATTACAATCTGTAGTTTTTAAAGTCCTGGGTCCCAAAAAAAATTACACCATATCGAGAAACAGTATATTTCAAACTACCATCCCTGTCCAATAACTTTGTTTCCTTAAACATGAAATTATGATCTAATCGATTTTGATACACTGCTAGTGATCAGCTCTTTACATCGAGTCAACAATCGCTTTTCTGTGAGGTAATATTTTACCACTTTTGATCTTTGTCTTATGTGCCGTGCGATCATATATAATGCCCCACCCTTTAATTTTCTTATTAAACGTTTTGAAAAAAATTATCAAATATAAAAGTTATTCAAAAAATAGTAA